CTATTTGGAAATCAACGAAATTAACCTCAAAAATAAAGTGTTCAAATATCTAAATTGGGATGCATCAAATGTTAGATATCGTGCCAAGGTTTCCAAAGACATAAGGAACATTCGAAACCGGGTTATATTGAAGAAACTATAACCATTCAAATATTTACGACACACCCGGTAAAACATTATTTAACGTAAAAAGCGAAATTACAATAAAATGCATTTTAGCCTTAAGCATCTAAACAAAAGTTGTAAAGTTCGTTAAACTGTAAACGTACATAAAAAGATCGCCCAAATTGGACCTCGAAGTTACGAATTTTCTAAGTTTCGTAACAGTAGTAGAGGGCTAAAAAAAACTCGAATTGAAGATCGAGCGTTATTTAGCTAACACAACCTAAACAAAAGTTGAAGGTCTCCACAATAGTAATAAAATGATAAAAAGACAAACGAAAACCGACGTCGAATAAAGAAACTATGAATTTTTAACGGACTTTAGCTGTCCCGACCTATTAAAATCATATCATTAAAAATAAAGTCAAAACTAGCCGACGGAGTCTAAATGAAAGTTGTAGAGCATAATCTCACCTACGCGTGGATATAAAGAACGCGAAAAATGGAGCCCATACGCGAAAGTTATGGAATTTAGAAGACGAAAGCCAGGATTACGCCCAACGTAATGTAGGAGTACGCCCAGCGTACTCAGGTGCAGGATCGAGTCCCATCGGCTGCAGCTCTACGCCTAGCTAGACTCGAGTCGTAAGCCATGACGCAAAGTTACGCCTAGCGTAAAGGAAGTACGCACAGCATACTCTGGTGGTACGTCCAACGTACTCGCCCTTCCAGCCCTACAAATAGAAGGCATAAGCTCCGGATTTTAGCACACCTCTCACTAAATCTCACTTACTCCCACACACTTTTAAGAACCAGAGGACGTCCCGACACCCTCTATTTCCGCACCCGAGCCCCGACGAAGGTTCTACGCTACCGAGATCCCCGAGGAGCTCGAAGACGCAACTTTCTGCGGTTGAAGTTCTGCTCGACTCTAGCCCCACTCTCTTCAAACCAAACAAGTGAGTTCATACCCCTACTTTTCAAGTCTTCTCATGTTTTAGGGGGGAAATACAAATACAATACAAGTAAACGTACCGTTTTATAAACATAAATGCAACATCTATCTTATTAATTATCGATACCAACATCTTACTTTACGTATAAGGTTTAGTATATCATCAAGTTATTTTCACTAAATGGAACATACTTTCTGAAAAACTATAATGGGTATAGTTAGCAAGTTATTCATACATTCTTATGGATCCATCTTGAAAAACGAAATACTTTCAACAAAAAATGAAGTAAAGTCTTTCTTATCGTAAATCTATTTATACTAAGTGATGTGAGATATTCAAACTTCAACGTACTCTTATGTATGCATTTCAAGTCTTGTATTATATACCATAATCTCTTGGAGGGAGAGCGTGATACTTGTGTATAGATCTATACCAGATTGACAACCCCGCACCTAAACTGTTAGCTACAGTTAGACCAGCAGGTCTGGGATGACAAATGTCATAACACTACAACACCTGAAGAATGTTCTTACAGGCAGTCTGTGTCAATACTATGGTTATAAGACTCACATGAAAGTATAAAAACAAGTTTGATCTAAGAGATTCATATATGCATTCATTATTTACGTTATTTTGAGCACAAAGTTTATCTTTATCATTCAAGTACGAAAAATACTAACACATTCCAACTTTGGGAACTTTTCAAACTATATATAGAAAATATTGGATTTTCTGAAAACCACGTTCATCGATTTTCTACCAAAAAGACATACTTTTCAATACAAAACACTTATGAACTCACCAACTTTATTGTTGACACTTTTTAGAAACCACTTGTATTTCTCAGGGAATCAGTAATACATGTAACTACTAGCTTTTGAAGAAGGAACGCTAAGGACGTTTATTGTTATTAAACATTTTACATCATCATATTGTAATATTCTTTTGGAAATATGTATAACGTAACAATATACGTTTTTATTATATATATGATGGTTGTGTTACTTTCTTTACAATATTCAATTGTTATGGTACTACGTGAAGTCATCCACCCCCGAATGTTTCCGCCATTCTGGTTTGGGGGTGTGACAACCGGTTACTTCAACGGTTGTCACAACTGTGCCAATTACAAGACCAAATTTAAAAGGTATTGTGATTGGTAAATCTGCTGATATTGGTAGTGGAAGTGGTTCAAAATCAAAAGATGTGATGAAAGATTCTGCTTTAAAGGATAAAGGAAAAACCATTCTTATTGAGAAGTCAAAGGAAGAAAAGAAGGCCGAGGCTGAGGTAGAACTGGAGAGAATGAGATTGATTCAAAGCATAATGACACAAAGAGCAAGTAATCCTCCAGGCATGAACAAAGGTGATCCATCAAAACACTATAACTACGAAACAATCAAAGCCAAGGTTGCATTCAATCACATGTATTCGTTCGAAAAGAAGCCAAAACATAGTTATATTGTAACGAATACAAATGCAAGCCAATTGGATTTTCCTATCAATGAGATGATGTTCATCATGCCCCAGTTTAATGCCGAAGGCAAATTCAAGAAGAAAGATGAAGGTACACACATGAAAATTCATTTTCATGCTGTGTTGGCAAAGCCTGTCGAAGAAGTGTGGTCACTGATCAAGATAAAGAAGGTGATCAGTATAAAGAAAGATGTGGTCTTTGAAAACACAGTCCAAAACATTAAGTATGTGGTGGCCAGAGCAAATGGAAAAGTTTGTGATTTTACCATTGCAGACTTCCCATTAATGAACTTGTATGATCTTATACAAGTTGCATTGTTGTTGAAAGAAACATCTTTTTCCTATCTCCAGAATACAGAACCTGATGAATTCAAGATTGGAGTTACTCATATCATGATCTTCATCGAAAATTACTATGAGTGCTTAGCCATGACAGATGTTGAGTTGGCTACAACAAAAGGATTGGAAATAACTGCTCCCGTGACACCTTCGAAGACACAAGCAGAACTGAAGAAGTATGCCGATGGTGAAATTTGCTTGAAGCCATTCGGTTTAGTCTTCGCAGGGAAGGACAAGGCCATAAAATCTAAATGCTTCTTATTACAGGTTGGTGAGGTGGAAAGGTATTCAACTTCCTAATATACGAACTTAATTGTTCGTATGAATCTATGTAAGAAGAATAACGAATGGGATAAGAAAGAACTTAAGAAGGTCATTTCCTGGTATACAGAGGTTCGAAGAGTTATGTTGTACTCCATCCAACTTCTTACTAACTGAAGACTTCGACTATGATTACAAAGGGGGAGATTGTAAGAGTTATTTTGTTGTAATTAGTCGAAGTATCTTATGTGCTCTTCGAATGTATTTGTAATCTATTTTACTAAGATACTTTTATACGAAGCTTAGAGTTTATGCCTTAGTATATTTTTTGTACGCTTTCTGTTTCCTATAAATAGGGAAGTTTACTAGAGGTTAGATAAGAGTTTTACAGACTTGTCTTTTATTCTCTGTAAACCAAAAGCGTAATAAAGCTGAAACGATATCATATTTACATCTAGTGTTCAATCTCGTACACTTAGTTGAAATTCATACTCTGATTTATTTCATTCTCAATTCATAGTTTCATCATAGATCCTTAGGTTGCATCAACACATATGATGTTGATATGTTTTCACTGCCATGATCAATGTGTTTTGTTGCATAGAAACCTTAACAATAGTTGTTCCGCCCCTTTTGCCTTTAGCACAAAGCTGGTCCGACCTTTTTGGCCTTCAATATAAAATTCGTCTGTCCTGGCCTTCAACATATAGTTGGTTTGCCCCAAGTATCTTGTCCTACAATAAATAGTTGGACCGCCCTCAACTCAACACATAATATGTCGACATACATATCAAACATGTACACTAGCAATCCAACACCATAAGCATTTAACTAACTGGTCTACCTGCCTAACAATATGCTAAACATAAACACATCCTATCCTACAAATGATACATACTGTAATATAGAGTATAGTAAGGAATCTCACACAATCTAAACGGCAGAAGCTTAACAGTAATCTCAGCAACCGAACAACTAACACAAGCTATCTAATGTCAAACTGAGATCAGTCCTTAACCAAACACTCAATTCTACCAAGTTTGACCAAAAGTCAAATTGGTCAAAGAAAATATCTAAACTTTAATACCCAAAAATGATTTTTTTTTTAACCGACAATCTAATCTACTCCTAAACTAACAACATTTATTACCGGCTAAAAGCCCTTTGGTACCCAAAAATGACTTAGATGACCATATAACTTGCATGAGTTAATGGACAAGCACAATATGTCAACATTCAAGTCCAAAAGGTCCAAGAGCATTCATAAGTGTTCAAGAAATATTTGAGTCATCTCAACTTCCGTCACTTCACACAAGCCAAAAACCTCGTTTTGCTAAATATTAGATGGGAAAATGTTGTTCCCTCATATTATATTTCCATTTTATACCATACTTATTAAATTTAATAACTCAAGTTATTATGCTTACATAATAAAATATAAAATAATTACACCATCGTAATGCTAATTATTAGATGGGAAAATGTTGTTCCCTCATATTATATTTCCATTTTATACCATACTTACTAAATTTAATAACTCAAATTATTATGTTTACATAATAAAATATAAAATAATTACACCATTGTAATAATCTCGATGATAGTAAATATGCCTGATTAAAAAATTGTAAACTTTATATATAGTTTTATGAAAAAAAATGATATCGAATATATATAAGAAGTCTTGTTTTTTTTTTATTATGTTTGATATAAACCTTATATGTTAAATATGTATGTGAGCCTTTTTCTTGTGAGATTCATCTTCAAAAGAGACCAAGAAAGAAGGATGGATACAAGGGGAAAATGAGCCTTTTTCTTGTGAGATCCATACATAAATTTACAAACACCTTTAGCATCAAAATACCCATCAACTAACACACACACACACACAATACAACAATTTCAAGATGAATCCACAGCCATTTCATTGTCACCTTTTTCCAATTCCATTCCCATAACACCATCCTTCTCATTCTTCTCCACTTTCTCAATCTTTAGTCTCTGCCAGTTCATTCAATATTAGTGTTTGACTTTGACTTTGACTTTGACTTTGACTGATGTCAATGGAAAAAAGAAGAAAATCAAAACCTTGGTTTGTATAGAACAATCGTTAGCCATTCGAGCAAACATATTTGTATAAAGTTTAGCATCTCTTTTGTTACTCTCAGCTTGAAGTTGCTTTAAAGTCTTGTGAATAGACTTTACCTCCCTACAAAATAACAAAAAACCAAAATGAAACTACAAAGGTTTAAAATGACCAAACTGACCTCCAAATTTGATAGTTTTACCTGTTTTGTGGATCGGCTTCCAATGCCTTCTTGATGTCTAATTCAGCCAATTCATAATCATAAGTTTCCATGTAAGCTTGTGCCCTTCTGTATAAAGCTTTCACATTGTACAACTCAACATCCAGCACCTGTTGGAAACAACCTTGTATAATAATAATAACAATAATAATAATAATCAAAACTTGGAATTGTTTTTTAAAAGGATGAAAAGAAAAAAAAAAAGTATGATGGTTTTATGATCGATTACCTTTGAACATAAGATGATTGCATTTTTGTGATCATTTAGTTTGAGGCTACAAGCTGCAGCATTCGACCAGCATGAAACTCTTAATGATTTCACAACCTTTTCATCATAATCCCCAAACTGCCCTTCTTCACTAACATAATCCACTGCCTAAAAACACCACATGTATATCATATCAATGATTTATATTTATTTAAAAAAAAAAAAAAAAATTAACGATAGTTTTACCTTGTCGTATTTTTTAGCTGCTCTTTGATATTTACCACTTTTATAAAGAATATTTCCTTCTTCTTTCTTCCTCCCAGCTGCTTCGATTCTTTCATGAACATCCATTTCCCATGGACCCTTTTCCTGCCAAATGACCATTTTACCCTTGTTATACATATATGGACTCAACCTTATGGTAAACTATGAATGATAAGTTACCTTTTCAAACTCGATCATTTCGACTTCATAAACTAAATTTGAAAAGGGAGGAATTACAGCCAAATCAGAGTTTACTTCTTGGCTTCCATATCCATATTCATGATTGATGCTTAATATTGCTTGCTCCCCCTTCTTCATTGTTGCCACACCTCTGTCTAATCCTCCAATCACTTGTTCTGCAATGACAATGTGGAGGGTATTTTCGTCTTTTCCACAAATGAAAAAAATTGTCATGTAACATTGTAACTAACCTTCATCTGTAATGAAGTTTAATGGAGTGTCTCCATCAAAACCCTTTTTCTCAAACACAGTTCCATCTTCTAGCTTAGCTGTATACCTAACTACAAAAAACGAAGAAAATACAATGTCTAAAATAAATATAATATTATAAAAAGTATCAAGAAAATCAATATATGCAAAATGATTATATACTTACTAAGAACAGAAGCACCTTCATTTGGAGTGAGAGCACCTTCACCCTCTTTCACTATCTTCTTAATCACCTTTGAATCATTTGTTATATCAACTACAGATTTAAAAGATACCAATTCCAATGCAACATGAAGCATAGAATTTGGTGGAATTGGAGAGAAACCATTGGGTAGTGATGTAATTGTAACCCCTTCTTCACCAAAAGCATCTGTGGTTCATAAAAAGTTACATTATTTATCAATTTTTCATTTATAATTATATTATATTTATAGAACCTTACACTGTGGTTGAACAATTAAATCGGCTTTCTCTTCTCTTGTCATGGTCTTAATTGCTTTTGGAAGTGCCGAACATAAATGACCTAGTAAGACAGACAGTATAATATTATTTTAAAGAAATTTGGTTACATGAAAATAAACCAATTACATAATTATTTATTTAATTACCATCTTTCAAGTAAAACTCAACACCCTCTTTTGGTGATTCAGAAACTATAACACCATCAGGCAGCTTCACTACATACTTCACTGCATTAACCAACATCAGTGACACATCACTTGTTGTTAGTTAACAAATTCTTCTTAATATAAAATGGAAAAGAAGAAGTGCAAAAGACTACCTTTAACCTCATCCAAATCGCCAGGTTGTCCTGTTTCTTCCCCCTTCTTCACTACTCTCTTAAGAATGCCACCATCTTTACAGACATCTAATACTGTGATCCATGAGAGAAGCTCTACCTCAAACTGAATGATGGAATTGGGAGGAACACCATTTGTGCCTGAAACTCCAAATCCCAATTGGGGAGGCAATGTAAACAATGCTATTTCCCCTTTCTTCATTGTAAGTACTGCTTCATCAAAACCAGAACATATCTGACCTGATTGGTAATGTCAAACCGAAGAGACAACAGATGAAAGAATAAAGATCACATCACATTGTTGCAGAAAAGGGGAAAAAACAATGGTGAACAACAACTAACCTTGGCCAATTTTGAAGGAGAAGGGTTCCCCTTTTTCTCTAGTGGAGATAAATGTTGTCCCATCAACCAAACTCCCCACGTAATGAACTGAATCCATTCAAACGATATTCAATTGGGAGACTTATAGTCAATTTAGTAGCAATACTATTATGTGTTGCAAAAAGCTTCTTGGTTTCTACGAGAAATTATAAATGACAAATGCACCACCTGCTTTGGCATTTCAAATCCAAATGTGGCGCTAGTGATGGGAGGGAGGTGGTAGTAGAATAATTTTGTTCTCGATTATGAATAAAGACATGAAAGTAAGTTTACCGGTGGGTTCGTCGCCGAATTCAGGGGTTTGGAAACCAGCACCACGGCGGAGGAGCTTCTTTTTTAGGCCAGTGGAGTTGAAAACACGCTCTTGACCGACTCTGAGAGGCGGAGCCGATTCAATCACCTCTCCTGGTTCTTCATCACTGTCGATGTCTTCGGGTTCCGCCATGCTTGATATTTTTAGTCTTTTCGTATCTTCCGCCATTACAGAATATAGACTCCTGATGATATGTGTTTCTTCAACTCTCAGATATTTATTTTGGCTGTTAGTTTTTTAAGAGAGGTAAATGTACTCTTTTTACGCATTACAAAAACCAAACCAAGTTTATTTTATTTTATTTATTTATTTTTTTTATTCCGGTCGTTTGTAAAGGATACAATTTTATATATAAATATCATATATATTTTTTAATATTATATATATATATATATATATATATATATATATATATATATATATATATATATATATATATATATATATATATATATAGTAGCCGTAGACCCGCGCAAAGCGGCGGCGAAAAATAGTTTCTCATTCGACAATAAGTTGTATACGGAAACATGTTAGATTTCAAGTAACACAAAACATATGCATATTGTTATCGATCGGTTTTACGGCAACAAATAAATATAACTCTCGCAATACAAAAGAAAATAAATATTTTGGTGTGTAGTGTACGTTTATAGTCCTTCATTTTAGAAATCAAGACACATCCATACGAAGTGACTTGCTTATACCTTTATTGGTATTGATAAAGTTAATAAAAGGAGAATCAAAGTTAATCTTAACAACCCGGTTTGCTTGATACAGATAAGACTAAACGGATACCTCTTATTATTCACTTTACTATCTAAAGTTTTAAACCGAAAAATAATAAAATTAATACAAATAAAAGGGCATATATAATGGATTATTTGTTTATTTTAATTGGATAAGAGATTTGGTCAAATTTTTGGAAGAGATAAGATTTCAAAGGTAATTAGATTAAAAATTAATATTATTTTATTCATGATTAGTTGTACTTTACGCTTTTAGAGAGTTGAACGTCTTAAATAATAATATTATTTTATTGGATCTATTTATAGAAATGGTAGGATTTCTTTTATAAGTTAGTAAATATATATATATATATATATATATATATATATATATATATATATATATATAATTTAAGACGAGATTTTGTCAAAACTTTATGACAAATATAAGTTATCGAGTCGGGGCATCAGACAGAATCATAACAAGCTTTTTAAAACATTTACAAAAATAGAGGATCAGAACATTATATATATATATATATATATATATATATATATATATATATATATATATATATATATATATATATATATATATATATATATATAGGGAAAGGATCAAATGAGAACACCTAAAATGTTGAGAACGCGATAACAAATATATTCATTTGTGATTCCATGTATTCATTTGTGGTGAAAATTTTTATGCACAATCAATATGAATATACTTTTTCTTTTCAATTGAAGTTAAAACCGTAAAAATCTATCATTCCTCTACAAATGAATACATGGAATTACAAAAGAATATACTTTGTTCTCGCGTTCTAAACCTTTTTGGTGTTCTCATTTGATCCTACTCCTATATATATATATATATATATATATATATATATATATATATATATATATATATATATATATATATTGTTTTTTTTTTTAATCCGTAGTTTTTTAGTAGATTTTTGGCAATTTTTTTTACAGAATATATGCTTGGAAACAATATAAGGAAATCTCCAATAAAGTCCTAAAATTTTAGCCCGGTTTATGTTTTAGTCCTAAACTAATTTTTGTTTACGAAATAGTCCCAAAAACCAGCAAAAGTTTGCATTTTGACCCTTTTTGACTGGTTGGAACCGGTAACAAATTAATTTAGGACTATTTCATAAATAGACCCAAAATATTGGGACTTTTCTGCAAAAACAAAAAATATTAGGGTTTTTCTGCAAACAAAAATCTTATTATTATTATATTAAAAATATAAATAAGTATACTATTTTTAAATTTGTTATTATTAATATTATTAATAATACATATAAATACATTTAAATTAAAAAAATATTAAAGACATTTTATAAAAGTGAAGATTGAGCGGATGATAATGCTTTAAGCTTTGAAATCATGAATGTATGTTTGTATATTCTAACTTTGTATATGGTTATTTCACATTTGTTATTATTGTTTTTAATTCAGAATATTAACATTTAACAATTTAAAAGAAGCTACTGGTTTTTCAAATTGTTTACAAATTTGATTTGAAAAGAAATCATTCTATCTTAAGAAATTTTATATACAAAGTGAGAAGTCCTTTTATCTTAAACTATTTATACATAATTTTATAAATAGATTTTTGCCATTGGACTTCCCAATCAAATTCGTCGTAACACTCATAATGATCAACTTTACGAAGATCCCATTGTATTCCGGAAGCTCGTAGCATGGGTCCCGACAAACCCCAATTTATTGCTTCCTCTCCACCAATAATGCCTACTCCTTCAACTCCTCCGGAATCCAATGAACAACAACGATTACTTAGGATCAGCTTGCGAATTTGTGGCACCGTAGTAGAATCATTACCAATGGCACGCAGTGCGCCTAAATTGTTAAGTGTTAATATTTTGAATTGAAAACAATAATAAGAAATGTGAAATGATCATATACAAAGTAAGAACATACAAACAGTGATTTCAATGCTTAAAGCATTACCATCACCACCACCTTCACCTTTAAATAATTTCTTTAATATATTTTTATTTAAGTGTATTTATATGTATTATTAAAAATATTAATAATAATGAATTTAAAAATTAGTATACTTGTTTATAATAATAATAATAATAATAATAATAATAATAATAATAATAATAATAAAGTTTTTGTTTGCAGAAAAGTCATAATATTTTTTTTTTGCAAAAAAAATCCTAATATTTTAGATCATTTTGTGAAATAGTCTCAATATTTTAGGTTAGTTTATGAAATAGTTCCAAATTAATTTGTTGCCGGTTCCAACCAGTCAAAAGGGGTCAAAATGCATACTTTTGCCGGTTTTTAGGACTTTTTCGTAAACAAAAATTAGTTTAGGACTAAAACGTAAACCGAACCAAAATTTTATATATATATATATATATATATATATATATATATTGTGTATTTTTAATCCGTAGTTTTTTAGTTGATTTTTGGCAATTTTTTTACAGAATATATGCTTGGAAACAATATATGCTTGGAAACAAGTCTAACAACTCTTACATTTAAGAAATTATAGTCATAAACAACTTCAATGAATTTAGGAATAAAATTACATGTTAAAGAAGACTATCATTGATAGAATCAAGTAACGATGGACCGATGACATATAAATATTTAATCGGAAAAGAGATTGATTATGTATAGAAGATTTCAACTTTTCAAAATTTTTGTATTTAGTTGGATTCAACATTTCAAAATAATGTTTTAACCAATAACTTTAAGAGATTTATATATAAACTCAAAATGTTATAGTTTATTCCAGCAAATTATGGTTTCTACTATCAAACATAACCATAAAACCCAATGAATGTTTTAATAAAATGTAGGCCTAGAATTTTAAAAATATGTTAAAGCCTTTTTCTCTTAGCAAAAATAGATAATAAATTAAAAAATATATATAAAATAAAATAAAATAATAGAAAAAAAAAACCCTTAAATCGGTTCCAAAGTACAACAGTTGCAGCGGCGATGATAGCAAGAGAGCCAAAGTGGCAATAGGCGGTGATGCTAGGCGGTTGTCTAGCCGTTGTTTACAAAGACAAACGAGCATTGATTCTCTCTTTTAATTGATTTAGATTTTTTTAAGAGTTTGATGTTACTATTGTTGGTTATAAAGCAGGTAATACCTTGATGCCTAAGGGGGAAAAACTAGCAGCAAGAAAAACTATTGAATAACAGTAAAGAAAAACTTTAATATTACTTGCTAACGAAAGCTTTTATTGCTTGATACCAAAGACTTTTCTTATTTAATCAAAACAAGTTTTGCATCCATATAAAGATGCAACGAAAACCTAAATTTATACTAGACACATAATGAGTTTGACTCTAATACAAAAACTAGGAATAAACTTAAACAAAATGAAACTTTCATATTTTACCCCTAGAACTAAAAATTGTCGATTGGTGATAAACCGATTAACCCAACAATCACCCCTTAATCGGTTTGGTCAACCGCCCATTCACAACAACCTTTAATAACCTTCTTTTCGAACCATCTTGCGTCCCGAACTTTCCCAGGCACCCCACCTTCACTCAGTCACGTCAAAAGTTTTTTCTCAATCTCTTTGATTGTTGACAACAAATGCAACATATACCATGACATTCCGTTGGACACGTTCATTACTATCTAGACTTTTCTCGAATTCATGACCTCTCCCCGACCAGATCCAAAGCCACCCGATTTGAACTTCCACTGCCATAATGTTCACACTGTGTTGTTTCTCCAATCTCTTTCTTTGTTTCGATTACCGTTCTTCAAAGAGGTAACTCCACCGACGAAGAAAACAAAGCCACCTGCTTCACCATTTTCTTTCAATCATGCCAAACGAACTGAATCCAAAGCTACCTGCATTGACGGATCCTTCCTGTCCGCTTTTCATGCACCTATGTCGGTATCCCCATATCACAAACAAACCGATCAAGAACTTTATACCTTCTGATTTCAACCGATCAACGTCTTATTCTTTTTTTGTTGACAACCCCGACCTAATCAAACTTGTTCCGAGAGCACTTTTCCACCGAACAACAAGACAAGGTCACGATCACCTTTACCGTCTTCTGTCACTCGCAAAACGAACTAAATCAAAGTCACCCACTTTGACATCTTCCTGTCCGTTTATTCTGCGTCTTCGGTTAGTCTCTCTCTACCTTAGAACAAGCCCAATAAAAAACAATTGGGGCTGCTGTTGAGATGCTTCAACTCGCGTTCAAAAACAATCCACATCCCCTTAAACCGAACCCGGTTCCCGCTGCGTCTACCCCACAACGATAGGCTATAGTTTTCTTGAAACCGATTCTCAAACTGGCACCGTCTTCACCTCGCTCTCATACCAAGTGTTGGTTATAAAGCAGGTAATACCTTGATACCTAAGGGGGAAAAACTAGCAGCAAGAAAAACTATGGAATAATAGTAAAGAAAAACTTTAATATTACTTGCTAACGAAAGCTTTTATTGCTTGATGCCAAAGACTTTTCTAATTTAATCAAAACAAGTTTTGCATCCAAATAAAGATGCAACGAAAACCTATATTTATACTAGACACATAATGAGTTCGACTCTAATATAAAAACTAGGAATAAACTTAAACAAAAGAAAACTTTCATATTTTACCCCTAGAACTAAAAATTGTCGATTGGTGATAAACCGATTAACCCAACAACTATCAATTAAATACTAACAACTATTGTACACTAATCAAAGAAACACATGTTCAACTCTTATCCCCCTATTATAATAAAACAGTACCCAATAGTCATGTGTCTTCTCTTGAAGCCTCTCCCAGCTAATTTTCCCGCCTAAAATGTCTAAGTGGTTTTCCCTAGATGCCTTTCTACTGTATTAGAAATATAATTCACATCTCTAAATTTCGCTTCCTTCCACAAATCTTTGATATTATTAAGAATCCTTTAAATCTTGTCTACCGATCAACCCTATAAATCAGGAACCTATGAGCAATATTATTCTGTTTTTAGCTTAGATAACTGCAAGAAATTAGGAAATCTTATCTAAATTTTAATTGGATCTACAAATGGTTCGTAGTATCTAAACTGAGGCTCATATGTTACGCTTCCATCACTTTCTGTAGTGCAGTTAACAGCTTACCGCTTATGCATGGGATACCCTGTTCTACAACATCCTTCAATAGTGACTCCAATTCATCATGTACTCCTAATGTTCTCTTGGGGTTAAAAAAGCCTTTTAGCTGTGATGTTTTTCTTTGTGGATATACACAATATGACAAATTATGATTGCAACCATGCTTTCCATATGTAGTATATAATTTTCAAGTTCAAAATCCAATCTTTGAGTTTAATGGTTCAAGGGAGGAAGATGATGATCAGGGGCATCTTAGTAATTTCAAGAAGCAACCACATGGTAGTATTGGTAATGAAAAAAGGGTATGACTCAGTTAGACATGGAAAGTTTAGAGCCACAAGTGTTGGAAGAAGATGTTACTCAATGGAATATTAATAGTATGTGATAGGAAACTCAAAATTTAGAGTGCAATTTGTTCCTAATAGCATCGAAAGATATTCTCATTGTTTCATTCCTCCAAGTAAGTCCATCATTGGCTTAAATACTTTGGTTTCTATTTTTGTAAATGAAATTACAAATGGGTTTGGCATAGCAAATTCTCTTGACTGTCTTGGACAATTCTATGTGTGTATTGAAAAAACTTCCATCACCTCTATTGCATATTGATTCACCTATTCCCCTCTATAAGAGGTAGTTAAATATTCATTATAATTGATTTACATCTAATAGGTTGATCCCTTCAAAACATTAAATTTATCTATTTGTAATTACAACTTCATTTATTATTCATAAGAACCTAATAATTATGAGTCTGATTTTTCATAATTAAGTTAATTTTACTTCATCTAAAAATTATTTTAATGTACCCAAAATTAATGCCCAAACAAATATTTGTTTATGTGACCAAGAATACCCTAAACGACGGTTTCTTGAAAGATGCATTTGGGTTTGTTCTAAGCAGAGGTAGAAGTTGTGATGGAAGCTATGGTTTTAAATTATTCTATTTTTTTTTTTTTTCTTTTGTGCATTTTACAAAATTTACCGCAATTCAAAAAACATGTTTCTTTTATTTTTTGTTTGGAAGTTTTTAATGTCATTATTAGATGGTTAGGTGTTTTTTCATCTTTTTGCATACAAAAAATCTAGCACGTAAATATTAATACAACGTTTTTTTTGTTTGAGAAAAAATACTTGTACATCTCTAATTTATTTCATGTGCATTTTAAATAAATGACCAAAAAAGTTGTAAAAAAATATTGTTTTTATTGTGTTTCTATTCAAAATTTAGAAAAACAAATAATACTAATACTAATAATAATAATAATAACTAGATGGAAACTCATGCTCTGCATGATACAGAGGATGTTATTGTTGTATTTAGCCCAAGTATGGGCTAAATGCAGGAAATGGCAAGCTACTTTATATATATATATATATATATATATATATATATATATATATATATATATATATATATATATATTATTTTTAGGTGTAATATATAGAACAAAACTGTTCGAAACTGAAAAAAAAAATTGCCAGCTGTTCATCATACATTAACAAAGATTTCAGAACAAAAATTCCCATGCTTTCTCTTATGTTAGCCACTATTTCACCAAGACACTCAACAATTAATTCGGTTAAAAAAATCCAAAGGCTTAACTATCATGTTTTGTAATATTAATAGTTTTTAATGAATATAAATCATTCATATATACATACAATTTCATAGATTTGTAACACAAATGGATTTCGATTGAAAACAAACATCTAAAATGACAATAATAATCAAGAAAAAAGAAACCAGTGTATAGGAAAAAAGAAAAGAACCATGATAGGAAATGTTCAGCCTTCTAATGGAGACCAGTTTAAGGACGGGCGTAAATCCTTACAAAATGCATCATAAATCCCCCATTGTCCAGCTGGAGGCATTGGCAACTCAATCTACACACACAATAATTGAAAGTGGTGATTTTAGAACAGATGAAAAGATTGTGATTAGTGATTCATTTATAGCAGGTTAGTCAACTCACCTTCCTCTGGAAAGTAAAAAAAAAAAGCTAATTATGTCTGCTTTATTATGGAAGGAAGATGAAAGTTTCCGGCTGCAATATACACACATGGTATTAGTATTTGATATATGTAAATAATTATACTTATGTTAAGATATAAAAACTTCTAATATATTTTAGTCGAAGATGAATATCCAGAAGGTACTTTTTGATCTGGGAAAAAAGGGTGCCTGAAGTCTAGGTTGATGTTGGGAATTTGACCTAATTATTAGGCCAAAAAATTGTTACAATAGCTATAAATAAAGATCATAAGCTCGTAACGAGTATATATAAATGTTAATAAAGCATTTCAACAAGATATATACCTTTTTTCATTCTTTAAGTCAATTAGGAAACATAGTTCAATAAAACAATGTGCTTCTACCATGGGGCCGGAAACAACTTATCTACAAAGAAAGACATTCGATTAAATAGATGCTTTATTGTGAAGTTCAATGGAAAAATCAGTATATTCTATTTATTCCAGATATGGATTTTTTTGGGTAAAACATTTACCTGAGCATTCCAGCAAACATGTGGTGGGCATAGATAGAAAGATACACATGCACAAAGAAAAATGGTTTTTTCCCGATCCTGTTAATTGCCATCCACATTCGAACACATTTTTCAAAAACCTGGAGAAAAAGAGTAGTGATGAACATCTGTTTAAGAAAGGAGAGATAAAGATACCTTACTTATTATCCGGCAACACCTTCTTCATTAGAGCTGATACCTTCGTCATTAGGCTGACGGTGCTGAGAGTGGTGGTGGCGGTGGAGGTCGATCTAAATCGCATCAGAATCAACAACGGGATGTAGCCGAAAACCTCCAGACACAACCGACGTGGGTTATAAACCCAACACCACATCAATTGTCGAACTGCACCATCAATTTAGAGCAGAAAATCAACATGCATCTAATGTTCCCTGAGATTGGAGCGGGGTAAAATCAAAACTAACCTAACATTAAACAAAAAGAAGAGTATTGATTGATGATAAAAATTTATTTATAATTAATTAAAGGGTGAATATGTACCTAAGTTTTGAAGAACATATATTGTTTGGTTGAAGAAGATGCGATGGTGCCCGCGGTTGGATGTTGCTTCTCATACGCCAGAGTATGTGAGAAACTATAAATCAAGGGTCTGATAAGAAAAGAAAATCCCCAATTTGATCTATCATTCAAAAAAATCGAAAACTTCAAAATCAGAATTGCATCTTCCATAATTGACCAATAGAGCGAGAGTTAGGGCATGAGAAAAACCGGAAAACGCAAGATCAATGAGACGCAGACAATAGAATAGGAATTGCAGTGACAACGGTTGTTGATCTTCTTGCGCGTTGTTGATGGTGATAAAAAACTTATCCAAAATCAAGGCTGCACTCTCCAGTGATTCTTGGATGTCGATGCGTTGAGAGAGACAGTGAGTTTTGCAAAGGCGGTAACAGGATACGATGGGTAACCGAATACACGTCGGCTTTGAGTTGCCCATCCACACGCAACAATCGATAGGGCTTATTGCTCGAGGTATATAACCGATTTGAAACGACTGTGGATTTAAACTCATTTAGTGACTGTGTGTTTGTTCATAAAATCAAAACCGATGACTGGATTGAAGCGAATTAAAAATAGGAAAAGGAGATTGAGGATATTTGGTTGAAAGAATTCGAAGGGAGGAAGTACATGGAAGGAACTGGAAGAAGGAGGATGCGGTGGATGACCGGTGGATGGATTTTAACCCCGGAAGACTAAATGGCGGTGCGTAGTTATATGACACATAGTAAAAAGAAAGCCGGTGGACGCTATCTTATGGCAAACTTAAAAGAAAATAGACAGAATTGTAACATCATCCATAATGAGGGGACCATTTATGTGAAATCCTTAGTAGATTTCCTTTAGCTAAGGATGGAGAATTTTAATATATAACTAGAAATGAAGCCCGTGGGTTGCACGGGTCGAATATTTTTTATTGGTGTTTGGCGGGTCACGAAAGTAGAATGCTATAATGTCATTCAAATACAATACAGCTGGATAGATTGAGTAGCATAATGTCGAAATGTAAGAAATGAAAGTAATCAAATAAATTAGTCGAATCTTTTTTATTGGTGTTTGGCGGATCACGAAAGTAGAATGCTATAATGTCATTCAAATACAATACAACTGGATAGATTGAGTAGCATAATGTCGAAATGTAAGAAATGAAAGTAATCAAATAAATTAGTGTACGTTGCTGTTTTTTGCATTTAACGCTTTTAGCTGTAGTAAAAACATTTCGAGTTGAAATCCCATTCCTCATAACTTGAATAAAGCAACCTGAAGAAAAAAAAGAACATATTTTCTATTATTATCGTATTGACATTTTTGTTGGATGCAATTGTGCATACTAATAAAAAGGTTACAATATGTACCCTTATCCATCAAGAATATGTTATTAAAAAAAAAAAAAACGAAACTTTTGGGACCATTTTGCCCGATTGCCATTTTTTTACGAAAAGAGTGTCGATATTAAATACGACATTATATATAGGAAAAGTTGAAGAATCAATTGAATAACATGAATTAGAGGGTGTTTCGGATTGCTTGTTTAAAATGTTTATTAGCTTATTACGGGATGATACCAGTAATATTTATTTTGGTGTGGTATCAGAATTTTTAACTTATTAGAAAGTCCTTATAAATAGGGAAAGCTAAATTACAATTTTGCCCTTAATTTAAATAACAAAAAAGTCAATAATATGAGAGATATCTAATTTGGTTATTTTAACATCTATAAGCAAAATTGTAAATTGTCAAATACTGAAAAACAGTTTGTCAATTTATTACGTTTTGGAATTGTATAAGTTAATCCGGTAATAATGAAAAACAATTTATCAATTTATTAAGTTTTTGAATAATAATTGAGAAGTAATTGAAAAAAAATGTACTGACTGATATCATACATTCCAGCTTAAATAGCTGCAGCTACATCAGCAACTGCAGGAAGACCAGATGAATAGATGAACAATCCTAATTGGCACAGTTTCTGAAAGAATAGTTGATTAAAATGGGGATGAAACCTGGACAGAATGTGGCAAATTAATTGTTCCTTTTCTCAATAGTTTTAATATATACAAGGAGGAAAACTTACCAGTTCCATGATACAACTAAAAGATCAACACCCATTTCAATGAATAGTAAAACGCTAGTTTCATATTTCAGTAAGCGTTGCTTGATAAACTAAACTGCAAAATCAAATCTTTTATCAGCTTTAATTCAATTCATTTTATTATAAATATTAAAATAGGAATTGAATTCTAACCTTTCCCACATGCCATCACAGTCCGTGCTAGGAAGATTTGTGACATGTTTATGAAGTAGCTAACGGTTCATTGTGGTCCTTCGACCACCAAACTGTCATAATCACCTCGTAATTCGGACTGAATTCATAACCATAAATGGAAACAGATCAGCAGATGAAGTAAACAAACCGACAATGGATTGGATAGAGATCTGAGAAATTAAACAACCACTACATAGTTGTACATAAACTAAGTACCAAAATGGGTGGTCATATTAACAAACAGTGGTATATATAAGAAATAACATCCTTCTGATTAAAATCAGTCTCTTCTTAAGAGCCTGTTATACATTTGATTGCATATGTTGCATGTTGCAGCAACACAGTACAACAAATAGAGAATGGAACAAATGGTACCATAAAATTTAGATACCGATCTCTGTGACAACAAAGAACAGATAACCTAAAAAAACATACCAAATACAAAAATAAAAACATACACAATATGGACGACAGGAAAAAAGAAACTACACACCAAATAACAATATACTGTTAAACCATACCTCACACAAAATAAAGAACAAAAAGTACAATTCATAATTGTGAATGGCCCCAAGGAAGTCATTTTCTAATATTACTAAAGAAAAATATTGTAAAGCATATTGGAAAGAAAAAAATTAATCTTAAAGATGCAAGGTTTTTCTAAAAATAATATTGGTAAGCCGTCGAGAAATGTGCATTAAGAATCTAAAATATGTGATAACGTAATATATATAATACTTTGATTTTTCTGCCAAAATTCCTCTTTGTTTTCTTGTTCCTGTATCTTGAGAATGTTTGCATACGGTCTTCAATGGTTAGTGGTAATTGTCCAAGGGGAGAATGAATCAGGTCTGTCATAAAAGAAAAACACTATCAATAAGAAACGACTCAAGTTGGTCTTTTTGTTGATTTTAGAATACCAGATAAGTTTGTGTTTTGCTTTACTGGACAGTGTTGCCGAGCCTGTAACAGAAGCATTAAAAAAATCAAGAACCCATCATTGTTAGTGGTTTATATATTCTAGTTAAAAAGAAATAAAATTTGAAGTATTTATAAACATAGCAACTAATTACCGTTATGGTTTAATTGTTGAAGGCTTTGCAGCATCTATATGAGATGAAGTAGATCAAACATTACTTCCAAACACCATTCTTGAACCATAAGGGATTTAAAAAGAATATAAACTTATGTGGATGTTACTGTTAATGAATCCAACTAAAAGGAACGAAGCTTTTATACCACATTTGTAGAAGATGAAAATAAATTTTTTTCACGAAATGTACATGGTGGTGATTAAACTGACCGAAATTGACCACAATTACTTCTTTCATATCCAGAATTGTTATTTGATGGAATTCAATAACCTTTAGTTGTATGTATGTGATTCTGCGTAAAAGAAATTATGTTGTTATTCTCAATTCAGATTCATCATGCTGAAATGCAAGTATTCTTCCGTTATTTAATATTCTTATTCATATATTATCTTTAAAAAATTATATGTAACTTTACTTGATAGATGAAATACCTGAAGGTAGTGATGAGGAATTGTATTTGCCTCTCGTATTTTTCTCTTTGAGTTCCCGTTCCATGCAGAGTTTAAAAAACATTTACCAATAGCATGTATTTGCAAAGATTTAAAGTCAGAAAAAAAAAAAAAAAAAGAAACAAAAGAGAGTAAGCAATTGACGATACAATGCAATGTAAATGAAGATGATGGCCTTGCCTGAAGGTTTAGAAGATGGAATCTTGATAGCCATTATAGACTCCGAAACCAAACCAGCAAAAATTTGTCATCCTACAATCAAACACAATGAAGTAATTAGTTGCATTTTACAGTTACGTAAATGGTCCATGTGATTGTAAATAGTTACAGCAATGGTCCCTGTCACAGTAAATTGATACAGAATTCGTACCTCTTCCAATTAGTTGTTACACGATTAAGTTGTCCAATATCTTCTGATAAATCATAGTCTTAGCTCTAAAACTTTAAAATTCAAACTATCAGATAAAATTAAACTTGTACAGTTGAAATAGTAATTTTAATTTATATGAAAAAAAAAACTTCTTATGAGAAGCATTAACTAATAAATATGATAAAATCAAAATACTTGTATTTAGTTTATTGTTAAAATGGTTTGTTGCTTTTCCAAGGGTAAAATGGTCATGTGCTTACTGTGTCATTCTGAAGAAACTCATATTTGCACCGCTTCTGTTAACAACCAATGTAAATGGGAATAACTTTATAATCTTTTCCAACCGTTGACTTTAAAAATCAAAAACATTTACACAAATTTGATTTAAACAAATAATAACTTATTCTTCACATTTACTCACTTGGCAGACAGGGCCGGTCCAAACATATATGGGGTCCGGGGCGAAAAGAAAAAAAAGGACCCCTCAAATACAAATATAATAAAGATTCAGAAAAATATCATTATCATTACTCTTCAATATAGACGTTTTCAATTAGAAATAAAATGCAAACTAAATTGTTTATATTTTGAGCTAAATTGAGTTTCAACCAACTTTAGGCTCTAAAAATCATTTAGATAATAATTTATATATATATATATATATATATATATATATATATATATATATATATATATATATATATAAACTACATAGCCCATAAATTTTGGGCCCCCTGGAGTCGTGGGCCCTGGGCGGTCGCCCAGGTTGCCCACCGTCTGGACCGGCCCTGTTGGCAGATTAGTCAAAGTAGGAGCTCGTTAGGATCATTTTATGAAAAAGTCATCGCCATCCAAGCACATGAGCTGAACAGAATGCCCATTTGTAATTAGCCATGAAAACACTGGTTGCAAGTTCTGTGATGAGAAACAGATAAATCTAAGTGTAATGAGGGGAAAATAAGGCATACCAGATTGTGAAGCAGCTCTGATCGTAGCATGTTGGTTACATTGTTTACTATTGATGCAATAAGGCAACCATACACCATCAGTCCTGATATAAATGGAAAACCTCACACTTGTCGTGAAAAAAAGTTGTTAAGATTAAAAAGTTAAGTGAGCACAAAATTAAGATGACTATGTATAATAGATTTGAATAAAAATCGGAAAATCTGATTCAGGCATTTTAGCGAGTAGTTGGTGTACATTATAAAGGTTACTTTCATATCTCATAATCAATTGGGTAAGTATAACTGAATTGTATTGTTAGGGAACAAAATGTAAACATGAGGAGCGTTTTTGACAAAAAAAAAAAAACTAACATTTCGTTTGAGGTTTGGACCCGTTCGTACCTTTCACCGACAGAGGCAACGCTAGCAGAACGATCTAAATCAATTGAAAATGGAAGAGTTGGAAGGAAAATGGATCGGAAGTTTGGAACCGGAGAAAGGAGATCAAACACCGCCATGGCTGCAACACCCTTTGTGCTGCCCCGCCAAGTTACGGGTTGTATTTCTGTAACATCCCGGAATCGCAAGAGTAGAGTTGAAGGGCTAAAAGTGTAAGTTTTAGAGGATGACTCGGCGAGTCCATGGCTGACTCGGCGAGTCAGGTCGCGGTCATGGTCGCGTGTCAAGTGGCCTACT